AGAGGGGGAGACACAGAATCCGAAGCAGGCTCCAGGCTCTGAGCTGTCAGCACAGAGCCCGATGCAGGGCTTGAACTCATGGAGTGTGAGATCATGACCTGAGCTAAGTCAGACGCTCAACCGACTGAGCCACCCAGGCGCCCCCACAATTACATATTTTCTTAGGCACTATCTGAACTAAAATTTTTCCTGGAGCTATTCCATATTTTTCAATCTCATTCCTCCTAATCTCCTCCACCCACACTTGTCTACCTTCTCGCTGTAGTCCTAATCTACTGCAGGGGCAGCACCAGAGTGTAGGTGGCCCTTGGAAGGGTGTGCGTGTGCGTGCGTGCGTGTGCTTGGAGCGGAGGGAGCATGAACAATGGTGAGCGTCAACAGAAAACCCAGCTGAGACACATGGTCCTACCCCATAGAGTGTCAGGATGAAGAATTGCTTGCAGGCACGCTCATGTGGCCAACTGTTGGGTTGAGTGTGTGGGTCCTGCCTGGGGACCACAGAGGCCCATGGAGAAGTGATAACAAAGGCCCCGGCACTGCCGACTCCTCACTCTCTCTTCATCCCCTGGGCTGTACAACATGCTTCTTGGGCAGGAACCAGTGCACAGAAAGCAGGGGAAAAGGCCACGAGTCACACTTCGCGGGAGCTAGGATGACATCAGTGGCTCTGGATCCTGGAATTGAGGCACAGCAGCATCACAGACGGTGTTGAAAATAAGATTCCTGGGCCTCACCTCGGAAGGTTCTGACTCATTAAGTCTTGGGTGGGGCGGAGGAATGTGTATTTCTTAAAGAGCTCCCCCAGATGACTCTAAAGCACAGGCAGGTTTCAGAACCGTGCCCTCAAATGTCATCCACTCTAGGCAGGGTAATTTGCTTTTCTGGGCAGGGATTTCCCAAAAGAGCAGCTGTAATGGGCTCCCCGGGGGAACAGCAAGCATCTGGGGCCTCCCAGGAGACTGAGACCACAGTGGAAGGCAGGAGAGGGAAACAGGATATCAGGGTATCAGGTGAGCCCCTGGGGAATGGGAGATAGTGCTGGTCTGAGGGCAATCAGAGGACCTGGCCCCATCCCCACCCAAGGAAGCCAGGAGGGGGCTTCTTCCTTCACTTCCGCTCAGGAGACTTGCCTTTTAGGGTTCTGATAACAGTATCAGCTAAAGCCCTGAGTAAGCAGCAGCTGAGGTCTTTGTGCTATCTCCCTGGAGGACTTCCCACAAACCCACTTCTGGAACCCTCTCTGTTTCAGGAAAGGCTCTCTAGGTGTCCCTTCCGCACTTGCCTAGACACCTTTTTCTGGATTTTCTTCTTCCTTCCCATCCTGCCCCCCATTTCACAGAAAGCACGGTCAAAGGAACATTGACAGCCCCAGGAAAGAGGTCAGGGTGTCTTGCCCCTGATCCTCTCATCCCTACTCATACTCTGCCTCAGCTGTCTCCCCCACACTCCTGCCCAGAGATGTGGGACCAGGGACCCAGTCTCTGTAGTGCCGGCCCTGGTTCTGAAGAGGCTTCAGGACACAGGCATGGAGCAATACCACAGAAGCCTCCCACCCCCAGAACAGAAAGATGGCAAGAACCACTGTAAACTGTCAACCTTTCACTTACGACTTCCTCCTCCCAGTACCTGGACCTCTGGATGCCACAAGCCCCGTGCCACGGGATGAGTTACGTCCACTTCATAGAACTGGCTGAGGTCTGCTGTTTTTCCTGCTCTCTGCTATCAGCCAGAGAATGAGCACCTGACCTCTGTCGGGGTCTTTGCACAAGTCCACTAAATGAGGGTGTTCTGGCTTCGTACTCCTAGGACTGCGGAGGTGGTTTTGTTGTTTTGTCGAAATGTGAGTTCCTGATCACTCCTGCCCTCTGCTGGACAGACAGGCCTGGGCACTAATCTGCCTCCTTTAACTGCCCTGAGGGCACCGGGCAGCCCTCTCAGGGAGTCGGGCCTGGAGGGAGTGGGCAAGCAGAGGCAGCTTTCCCAGGGTCCTGGCAACCTCAAGTTTGGGAGGTGCCGGGATGACTTTGGGAGACTGTCATGCCTCGGATCTGTGTAAGCCCATTTCCATCTACAACTCACTGTGGAATGTCAGCAGGTCAATCTCTCCAAGCCTCAGTTTCTTTGTCTGTATAACGGATCTAGAAAGTCGTTTCCTGTGCAATCTCTCAAGCAAAGCTCAGCCTTGCCTGGCTCACAGCAGGGGCTCGGTGGGTGACCTCATCCATGCACTCAACCCTCCCCTTCCCGGAAGCCACCTCTGATCTTTCCTTCTTGCTCCCACAGGCCTCAACACCTCCCAAGCACAGAGCGTCCCTGTCATCAACAGTGTGGCTGGCAGCCTGGCCGCCCTGCAGCCTGTCCAGTTCTCCCAGCAGCTACACAGCCCTCACCAGCAGCCCCTCATGCAGCAAAGCCCCGGCAGCCACATGACTCAGCAGCCCTTCATGGCGGCCGTGACTCAGCTACAGAACTCCCACAGTAAGGATGCAGGCGGGTTGGGGGGGTGGGGCGGAGGTACCAGCAAGGGCCCTACGCAACCCACCTCTGCCCTCTCTGGATCTGTACTTGCTTGGAAGTATACTGATTTGGTCACTTTTCTCTACCTGTTATCAACCCAGTGTCTCAGCATGACCTTCCTGTGGTCTGTGCCTTTCCTAGATCCCCCCCCATTCCTGGGGGGCGGGCAGGTTTGAAGAGGACAGTTGAGGGCCCACTTTACATAAGTGGAGTTGGAGAAAGAAAGCAGGGTGTAGCACATGTGTAGGACACATGCCACCATTGCCCACTTTGGTACCCATATCACCGATCAGCCACAGTACCTTTTCCTCATGAGCCTCAACTTAGCCTTTTCAATCTGAAAGTCTGAGCAGCCATTACCAGATGGCAAGAGTGGGAATGCAATTTGCATCCCATGTGCCCTCCCTGAAATTGAAGAATCTTCTAGAATCCCCGTGCTCTCCAATTTACACACCCTGAACATCTCAAATTGAGAATCATGAGCACAGGTGGAAAATGCCATCTGCATGCCATCCTGGATAAGGAATATTAGCACTTCTCCC